GACAACTAAACTCAAAAATGTTGGTATTCCTATATTGATGAATAAAAACCCTCTTATTCTTATCGCATCAGCCTTGGTTGTCAAGGTTCGTGTTTCGGAGTTACAAATTTGAGAGAGGGTTATAACCACAATTAAGTAGCCTCCTCGTCTGTAGTGGCATTTTCAGCCTTGGGTAGGCGAATTAACATAAAAAAAAATAAAAATAAATTAGACCTGCTTTATCTGCCACTTAAGCCACTCTTCCATTGTTGTAAGGTTGCATTTCTTTCTTTTTTCTACTAATACAATTATGGCCGAAGCTCAAACAAGCTATCATTTCTATTACAGTAAACCAAAACTCATTCTTGCTTGTTTCTTATTTAACTAGTTGCATCCTTTTACTGTATTTGTCCCTTCATGCTATAAAAACTCTTATTAATCCAGCTTTTTCCTTGCACATCAAAAAAACCTTATAACTATTAGCCATCTTCATGTTTTTCTTTTATATACAACCAGGGCCATCCCTAGGGTTGGTGGCACCCGGGGCTAATGTTATTACGACACCCTCTCCCTCCAGTAATAGTCGCATATATAAACTTTTTGTGCTGTCATGAATACTTTAATACTTACACCACCTACCAATCTATCATAAAGATAAATATATATACATTCAAGTAATCAATCTTTTTTTGTGTCATTGTTGTATGTAGGTAGGTTTTAATTAACTTCAACTTACTGAAACTACATTTACTGCTGGCTACTGTCATTAAAATTGCTAGCAACATGACTTGTGTTATCCATATCTACAATCCACATATTAGGAAGGTCTTTTCTGTTGGTGTTTTTGATTATATTAATACTTCTAATGGTAATAATGTTTTGCTGACCGCCTTCTGCTCACACTATTTGTCAAAAACAGTAGCTATCAAACTGCCATGTAGAATTTTAATTGTACAGCTCTTCCTCATTTATATCTGAAATATTTGTCACTGTCAGATTTTCTTCTAAAATTTTTATTTTATAATTCTCATTAGGTTTTTTCTTTGGTTTTTTCAGATCAAATAAGAATTCCCACTTTGACTCTTATTTGGAGAACTTGTCCATTCTGCCTTTTAAAGATGATTTAGTTGTGCCAATTAGGGGTAAGAAAACTGCATTTTTGTAAGGTTCTATTGTGCTTGAGATCCAGCGCTTGATTGATGGATAAAAACTCTATAGGTTCTTTGAACAACTCCAAACAGCAATATAGACTTCATTATTGATTTAGCTCGGTCTGATATAACTATGTTCAAGCAGTGTGAAAGCTTGTGGGTATTACACTTTTTCGAATTGCATACATAAATGTTACATCAAAATTGGATCAAAATTTAACGAGTAATTGGATAAGACCAAGGAAGTTCCCATTATTTTTGGTGTACAGCTTTAATGAGCTTCCACGAAATGCAAAATTGTTGCATAAGACCTTGATTGGTAGCTTGGTCATTTTATCCTGATTGTTGCTTCAGTCCATTCATTAACTGTAAAGAGATGGAGACGTCTTTTTTAAGCTTGCTCTTTGAACTTTTTCCAGTTGTTGAAACCTATTTTCCCAAAATATGATTTTAGAGTTGGAGTCAAACTGATGACAAGAAAGACAATAAACTAAATCAGTTTCTGGAGAGTATATAAGCCATCTTCTCTTACTTGTTCATCAGTTTCAACTATTATAGGAAATAATATTCTGCTTCCTAAGATTTTAGGCTCCAAATGTCCGAAGATGAGGTGATGTTCATGTAACAAAACTAGCTGAAGAAACTACACAACAGAGGGTTACTCACATTTTCTTTCCTTGATTAGACAAAGCGGAGGTCTCACTAGATGATTTTAAAAAGTTTTCATCACACAAAATGCTTGATTCACAAGGTTGTAAAAAGCTTGGAGAATGAAAATATGTATTTTGTAGGAAGGCCTTGTTTTTAAGCATTTAGCGTAAAGCAATTTAAGCAATTTTTACATAAGCAGTAAGCCATTTCAATTAAGCAACTTTTTCTCAATTTTTAACTAATAAATTATAGTATTATAATTTATTAGTTAAAAATTGATAAAATTTTTTTTTATTAATTACTTTTATCTTACCACTTTATAATAATAAAGTGGTAAGATAAAAGAAGTAATTAATAATAAAAAAAAAAAAAACATTAACTTTTGAATGACATTTATGTAAAAATATTTGTTACAAAAGTTTGAATGACAACTTTTACTTAATTTAAAACTAATTTAATAAAAATATATAACTTTATTCTGATAAAAAAATCATATATAATTTAATTTAGCTTTAAAAAAAATATAACTTAATTTTGATTTAAAAAATATTTGTAAGTTTATTAAAATTTAAAGTTAATGGCTTGGATTTAACTAAACTGCCTAACCTATTTAAAAATGTTACTAAATATTTTTTTTATAACGTATGTAATTTTAATAAAATGATAAACTAATAAACTTTAAATAAATTGAATAAATTTTTTAAAATAAAATCATTTGTAGTTGCAAAGCCGCAATTAGAAATTTAAGAAATAATCATTTTATAAACTCTTATAACTCATTTTATAAAATTTAACATATTAAATTTAACGATTCATCTATGCAAATGTTGAGAAAAAAAGAAATTTGGTAATATCAAACTTTTTTAAAAATGCAATATTAAATTTAATTATTGAAAATAATTAAAAAAATAAGCATTCCATTAAAGTATTAAAAAAGGAGCCGATAAATAACATTTAATTTCTTTTGAGGTAATTAAAATTATTGCAGTAATTTAAAAAAAGTCTAAAAAAAATTAACAGAAATTTATGTTGGCAAATATCGCGTTAAGCTAAGCATTAAGCATTTTTTTATTTAAAACAAGGCCTGGTATGGGTCTTAAGCATTCAAATTATACCATTTAGAGTAAATTAACTTTAAAACGATTATTATTTCCATTAAACCATATAACCATACAAAAAAACGCAGACCTAGAATGGATTGAGTGGCTATTACGCATGCGTTCAAATTATAAACCTTATTCTGGATCATCCACGCTGAATTTGTTAATAAAGAAGCTTCGCTTATGGAATTACTATTATACAAACTTTGACGAATTGAAGTAGAATAATAAAGTTATACAATTATTAAAAGAAATATGTTGTGCAATTGAATTCTCTAAATCGAGTTGTTGTAAAAATGTTTGGTTATTTATTTGGTATTTACTTATGGTATTTATGTTAATATGGTACTCTGGTAATTATTATTACTATTGTTATTATGGTACTATAGCAATTAGTTTTGTGAATGTTTTTAATAGGGATCGAATTATCAAATCACCAAGTCATTATATTAGTAGAGATATATAAAGATTAAAACATATATATGTATAAATATATATATATATATATATATTTACATATATATATATATATATATATATATATATATATATATATATATATATATATATATATATATATATATATATATATATATATATATATATATATATATATATATATATATATATATATATATATATATAGGTACGCGCACTGAAATTTTTAAATTATTCATATAGTACAATGTTATATATCATTAGAAAGGCCTTTAATACAGTATTTTAAAGGTGAAAAAATTATTAAAAACGAACAATTCTAAAAAAAGTTATAACGTTTTTAGTACCAAATTTAAGATATATGGAATTGTTGAAGAAACTGTGGTCAAAATAATTATTTTTTTCACTTAAATTATTATAACTTTGTCAATTTTTATCAAAATATCTATACCTTGGTATCAAAGGATAGGTGCACTAATGGACTACAAGTTCATATAGGTGCCTGGACGTAGGGTGTATCTTGGGAGCCAGAGGGGGTAATGAAACACCATCTAACCCTTAAGAAAATACAAGTTTTTGTCAAAAATAAGCACTTTTTTAATGTAATTGTTAGATTTTATACATAAAATATTGCCATAACTTGATTCCAAAACACTGCCAAACAAAATAAGGTGATCTTAGAGTTGGCCGTAGATGTGGTTATGATGTTATAACACCCTAATACAATAATCATACATTCTAATAAATAATTTAATCTTTATTACAGTAATTAAATATTTTGTTAAAAAGTAAAAATATATTTTTTTACTATACAACATACATTAGTGATGTGCACACTAACTTTAGGGAAGGGCGTATGTCGCACCGACCCCCCCTCCCTGCCCCTGCCCCAACGCATAACAAAAAATAAAAATAATTAAATCTTTATTACAATAACTAAATGTTAACAAGTAAAAATAATATTTTATTACTATTCAACATATATTATTGATGTACACATTGACTTTAAATAAAGGAAGTCTAATGCACCACCTCTCCTTCCCCCCCTCCCCACCTAACAAAAAATAACGTCATCTTTATTTCAATAATCAAATGTATTGTTAAAAAGAAAAAATAATCTTTTATAACTATATAACATACATTAGTATTGAAAATATTGTTGTATTACATGAAGCAATATTTTTTTTCTATAGAACATACATTAGTGATGTACAATTTGAGGAGAGGGATGGTTTTCCCCCTTCCCCTCAACCAACGTAAAAAAGAAAACACATAGAAATGATATTTTCAACATTTTCGCATGCAATTATTAAAAAAAGAAAGCACAATACAGAATTGTTTTACCAGATTGCACGAGTATACATTTTCTCATTTAAATAATCATATTTAACCAACCAACCTTATAAAAAACAAACAAGCAAAAAAACAAATGTTTCGAAACATAGTAATTAATTTATGTCTTGGCTTTTAGTAAATGATTTAAATTAAGTTCCAATGCAACTAAATAAATCATTTTTAACAATAGACACCACGTGAAGGTAAGCCAGAGCCGCCTATCTTTTTTTTTTGCAAGCCACAAAACTTGCTATACCTATTTGCAAGCCACAAAACTTGCGGTACACATTTGCAAGCCACAAAACTTGCTGTACCTATTTGCAAGCCACAAAACTTGCTGTATCTATTTGCAAGCCACAAAACTTGCGGTACTTATTTGCAAGCCACAAAACTTGCTGTACCTATTTGCAAGCCACAAAACTTGCTGTACCTATTTACAAGCCATAAAACTTGCGGTACACATTTGCAAGCCACAAAACTTGCTGTATCTATTTGCAAGCTACAAAACTTGCTGTACCTATTTGCAAGCCACAAAACTTGACTTAATTATTATACTAACTATTTTAAAATAAAATTACAAAGTTGTAACAAAAAATCAATATAGCAAATAAGAAGAAATGTATATACATATTAAATGTAATAGTTTATTAAATTACTAGTTGCAAAAGATGACTAAGGAACTAAAGTTAAACATATTATAAAGTTTGCACATTAAAAACTAATAGTTGTTTAACTTACCAGGTGTAGCACAAGAGGTAGATACTAAAATACAAATCAATATTACAAATAACGAGAAATGCATACACATATTAAATTTATTATTTTTTTAAATTACTAGTTGCAGCAGCTGACTAAGGAACTAAAGTTAAACATATTGTAAAGTTTGCAAATTAAAAATTAAGAGTTATGTAACTTACCAGGTGTAGTACAAGGGGTAGATACTAAAATTAAGAAATTAATATTGCAGCAAATGGGAAATCCATACACGACAAGTAATAAATAAATAAGTAAGAAATGCATATTTATGTATATTTCTTTAATGGTTAATTGAAGTTATGCTATAATAACTTACCAGCTGTAGTCTGTGCAAATTGGCCTAAAGATAACAAAAAAGTTAAATAATCAAAAAAAAAAAATATCTTGAAATTGTCAACAGTCAATAAAAATAACAGTTATCAAATCAGTTCTGCTTTACGTACAACAACCTATGTAACTAAAAAAAAAGCAATAAAAAAAATAATAAAAAACATAAATTATATTACTGTATTTTAAAATTATATTACTGTATATTAGAAAAACACTAACAAGATACTTTTATAAGAATAAACATATTATTGTAAAAGTATCTTTGTAATTTTACAAAAACAAGCTTATTAATAATAAGCTTATTCATATAAAAATATCAAGAATAATAATATTTTAAAATATCAATAATAATATTATTCTTAAAATATCAATAAAATCATAATATTATTCTAAAAAAATAATAATGTTATTCTAAAATTATCATTAATAACATTATTCTAAAAATATTTTGTCAAAAACTGTATTGGCTTAAGCCAATAAAGTTTTACTTTAAAGTATAATAATGTCATTTGTATATTTTTATATATATGGTGTATTAACAACATTGGCATCTGATACTATTAGTTAATAAAATATTCCAAAGTAACGGTTTAATCTTAAATCCTAATCTTTTTTAATATATGCTATTATTGGTATAACTTATACCAAAGATTAAGGTTTTTAAACTTATACTATAAGTTTAAAAACCTTAATCTTTGTTTACATATCATGATGATATGTAAACAAAGATTAATGTTTTAAAACTTATAACTTTTTTAAATAACAAAACAATAATGATAAGTTTAAAAACCTTAATCTTTGTTTACATCATGATGATGTAAACAAACTTTGTTATTATCATGAAAAAGAAATTAACTTACTTTTTGAAGTCTTCTTTGTTATGACTTTTACCATTTTTTATTTATTAAAATAATCTAATATTAAAAATTAAATAATACAATGTAGTAAGAATTTTTTTGTTTACCATTCGCCACCCCCCTATCCTCCCCGTATTTCTCTTACCGATAAAACAAAAACGAAAAAAAAAACCGAATTTAGGTACCAAAAGTCCTACACTTCTTATACTATCTGCTCCCTAATATTTTTGGCTTAAATTTGGCATGTACAAAGAAAATGCATGCAAAAAAGTTCCTGAATAACAAAAAAAGCGGAAACTTCATTCCTTCGATAAGAACTTAATGTGAGAACATCAACAAAATTTTCATGAAAGTTTTTAGCAAAACTAACCATAAAAAAGTTTAGTGGTTATAAATAAAAGTACTATAAAAATCAAGCCTAACCTTTCTTCTTTCCAAATATACTTTTTGTTTATATATGTTTCTAAAAAAAAACACAACTAAAAACGTTAGTCTAACTCTACTTCAAAAAAGCAGTATATTTAAAAAAGCACCTCGTTACATATCTGCTCCCTAATATTTTTCGTTGAAATTTGGCACATAAATAGAAAATACATGTATAAAGGTGGCTGAACAATCAAAAAAGCGGAAACTTCATGCCTTCGACTACAAATTTATGTGAAAACATCAACTAAATATTCAGGAGCAAAATAATCCGTTAAAAAGTTTAGTAACCATACATAAAAGTTTAAAAAAAATAAAGATCAGCTTCTCTTCTTTCCAAAAAGTATCTATGTGTATATATGTTTCTAAAATGAAACTCCACAAAACTACGTCTACCCCACGCTGCCTAAAAAAAAGTGAAAAAAACGAGTCACAAGATTTTATCACAAAAATCGGTTCAGTAAATGACGTAAATGCGCGTACCTAATATATATATATATATATATATATATATATATATATATATATATATATATATATATATATATATATATATATATATATATATATATATATATATATATATAAATTATATAATATTATAATGATATTAATATCATATATAATATTATATAATTTATATATATATAAATATATATATATATATTTATATTATATAATATATTATATATATATATATATTTATTTATTGATTTATATATATTTTGCTATTGTTTTGCAGTGGAAGCTATTAAAGTTAGTCTTATTAGAAGGAAGAAATATTTTATATAAGTGCAAGGGAGGGCTAGATAAGTTATAATATTTAGACAGATGTCCAGTATTGAGAAGTAGTGTATGAAAGGGGAGTTTTATTTAATGATTAAGTGTTGTTTCAATGTTATGTAAGTTGTGTTAGTTAATATGTTTTGTGTTTGTAGTGTTCTAAATGTTAAAGTTTTATATGTTATTTAATGTCTTTATTAGTATGAATCTGCATGTTTGTAAATACTTTTTGTTTTGAATGCAATGCATCTTATTAGAACTGCATTGAGCAGTGAGCGCTTTAGAGATGCATAACTAGTTAAAAGTGTGTAGCAGATTGAGATAAAAGTACACAAGGACTGATGTCCGTTGAAATAAAGTGCCTCTAAGAAGAGAAATAATGAAAATTAATCATAGTTATATGTAGTTAATATAAACAGAAATAATAAACCATAGCCAAGGAAAGTACATGTAATTAATTATTTTGATAATGAATGGTTATAGTAGAGTTACTGTAGAGCATAAATGTGATGCATAAAGTGTCAGCCGTGGAGCATGGATACCATTTGTTTTATGTTATTAGCAAAGTAAACAAACATTATAATTGCGCATCATTGATGCCTCATGGTATGAATTCTGATATCTGATGTGGTTTAGGGTCTGGTTTAAAATGGTAATATTGATATGTTTAGATAAAGTTGTTTGTGTTATGTATAATTTCCATTTAGTTAGTATGTTTTAATGTGGTTCTTTGTTTTATATTTATATTAAGACTAACTTTTGTTTATTTAAATTCAAATGTATAGTGTAATTTTAAACTTGGTATATATAATATTTCTACTTATTTATAAGGTCTATTTGTCATACTAGTTTTATATTCAGTTTATATGCTAAATAATATATACATTTTGGTATAGTTTTTCTTTTAGTATTTAGTTTAAAATAATGTGGTATACTGTAAGTATTCCTTTTATATTAAATTTATTTTAATCTTGTACGGTTTAGTGATGGGATTGTTTAAATTTAATTAATATGGTTTAATGGAAATAATAATCGTTTTAAAGTTAATTTACTCTAAATGGTCAAATAAAAATATTTGTTTTGTATGTTTATTTTATATGTTTATATGTTATATATTATAATATATGTTTATTTTTTATTTGGTTTTAATTACATTGAACAGTTCAGTCCGATGCATTTTGTCTGAAATTAGTTTCTATAATTTGAATGCTTAAGACCCATACCAGGCCTTGTTTTAAATAAAAAAATGCTTAATGCATAGCTTAACGCGATATTTGCCAACATAAATTTCTGTTAATTTTTTTTAGACTTTTTTTAAATTACTGCAATAATTTTAATTACCTCAAAAGAAATTAAATGTTATTTATCGGCTCCTTTTTTAATACTTTAATGGAAAGCTTATTTTTTTAATTATTTTCAATAATTAAATTTAATATTGCATTTTTAAAAAAGTTTGATATTACCAAATTTCTTTTTTTCTCAACATTTGCATAGATGAATCGTTAAATTTAATATGTTAAATTTTATAAAATGAGTTATAAGAGTTTATAAAATGATTATTTCTTAAATTTCTAATTGCGGCTTTGCAACTACAAATGATTTTATTTTAAAAAATTTATTCAATTTATTTAAAGTTTATTAGTTTATCATTTTATTAAAATTACTTACGTTATAAAAAAAGTATTTAGTAACATTTTTAAATAGGTTAGGCAGTTTAGTTAAATCCAAGCCATTAACTTTAAATTTTAATAAACTTACAAATATTTTTTAAATCAAAATTAAGTTATATTTTTTTTAAAGCTAAATTAAATTATATATGATTTTTTTATCAGAATAAAGTTATATATTTTTATTAAATTAGTTTTAAATTAAGTAAAAGTTGTCATTCAAACTTTTGTAACAAATATTTTTACATAAATGTCATTCAAAAGTTAATGTTTTTTTTTTTTTTTTTATTATTAATTACTTCTTTTATCTTACCACTTTATTATTATAAAGTGGTAAGATAAAAGTAATTAATAAAAAAAAATTTTATCAATTTTTAACTAATAAATTATAATACTATAATTTATTAGTTAAAAATTGAGAAAAAGTTGCTTAATTGAAATGGCTTACTGCTTATGTAAAAATTGCTTAAATTGCTTTACGCTAAATGCTTAAAAACAAGGCCTTCCTACAAAATACATATTTTCATTCTCCAAGCTTTTTACAACCTTGTGAATCAAGCATTTTGTGTGATGAAAACTTTTTAAAATCATCTAGTGAGACCTCCGCTTTGTCTAATCAAGGAAAGAAAATGTGAGTAACCCTCTGTTGTGTAGTTTCTTCAGCTAGTTTTGTTACATGAACATCACCTCATCTTCGGACATTTGGAGCCTAAAATCTTAGGAAGCAGAATATTATTTCCTATAATAGTTGAAACTGATGAACAAGTAAGAGAAGATGGCTTATATACTCTCCAGAAACTGATTTAGTTTATTGTCTTTCTTGTCATCAGTTTGACTCCAACTCTAAAATCATATTTTGGGAAAATAGGTTTCAACAACTGGAAAAAGTTCAAAGAGCAAGCTTAAAAAAGACGTCTCCATCTCTTTACAGTTAATGAATGGACTGAAGCAACAATCAGGATAAAATGACCAAGCTACCAATCAAGGTCTTATGCAACAATTTTGCATTTCGTGGAAGCTCATTAAAGCTGTACACCAAAAATAATGGGAACTTCCTTGGTCTTATCCAATTACTCGTTAAATTTTGATCCAATTTTGATGTAACATTTATGTATGCAATTCGAAAAAGTGTAATACCCACAAGCTTTCACACTGCTTGAACATAGTTATATCAGACCGAGCTAAATCAATAATGAAGTCTATATTGCTGTTTGGAGTTGTTCAAAGAACCTATAGAGTTTTTATCCATCAATCAAGCGCTGGATCTCAAGCACAATAGAACCTTACAAAAATGCAGTTTTCTTACCCCTAATTGGCACAACTAAATCATCTTTAAAAGGCAGAATGGACAAGTTCTCCAAATAAGAGTCAAAGTGGGAATTCTTATTTGATCTGAAAAAACCAAAGAAAAAACCTAATGAGAATTATAAAATAAAAATTTTAGAAGAAAATCTGACAGTGACAAATATTTCAGATATAAATGAGGAAGAGCTGTACAATTAAAATTCTACATGGCAGTTTGATAGCTACTGTTTTTGA